TCAAAAGGGAGAATACCTGAAGCTAAATACAGCAAAGTGTCTTTGATTAGACTAGATTTATTTTAGTCCTTTATTTTGACTCCCGGACATCTAATTTTCACAAAAAATTAGATGTCCGGGAGTCAAAAAAATTTACTAAAATAAATCTAGTCTAATCAAAGACACTTTGCTGTATTTAGGTTCAGGTATTCTCCCTTTTGACCAAATTTCGTTGACAATTCAAAGCTTCATCACCGCTCGGCATAGTATACAATCGACGTGGCACTTACAATTTTTCTGTCTCTGGAAAAATCCCAAGTGCCAGGCGTCGATTGTATACTGTTGAGGTAAGGACAGGGCGCCATCACAATAGGTTCCTGGCCCCTGGGAATCGCGGCCTGGTGTGTATTTACATAAGCAATCTAATGGCTGATCGCCACTTGATGCTTCCAGTTCCTTGCAGCGTACACAGCTAATTTAGAAAACGTTGAATACTGAAGATAGAGCATGTATTCCAAGAGCGAAATACACTGTTGGTCTTTCTATCACCGTTCAAAAAAAGTTTTCATGGTTTCAGAGGGACATCGTAGTTTGTAATCGAGAACTTCCAAGGAAAGCAATTGAATTTAATTTAGAATTGCGATTTTTCCTTTTGCGACATAATTCAACTCGAGAAGACAATTTGATTAAGTGCCAGGGATCAAGAATTTGGACAAAAATAACTACAAATTACGTGCGACCGATGCCCCTAATTATTTTTCCTTTATTCATTATCATTTATATATAGTCGATAGTCATTAATTCTTTTCTAGCCGTGTTTATTATCCAGGATTAATGATGCTGTCAATTTTCATTACAATTATTGATTTAATTATTAAATATCACTTTAGTTCACGAGGGTTCTTGTGGACGAGTCACGGTACAGGACAGTAAAGCAGTGAATAATTTTCACTATAATTAATCGTTTGTAGTTTCTCCTCGGATCTCAAGTGGGTCTTTACTGACTAGCCATTTAATCTCTACCATAAATTGGTCGTTGGTAGTGTCACGGTAATATTGGTTTATCTTGAAATAATAAACATGCGAACAGCCACCTTTCCAAAGCGCTTCCCATTTTTCAACGTTGTATTTTCTTCTACTACTTTCATAGCATGATCTAGCTGTTCTTTACCAGCGTTTGCACGAAAGTCGACTTTGTGCATTAAAAAGTCCAACAAAAGGATTCCTTCTTCTGATTTCGCGTCAAAAACTTTGGTGACATCAATTTCGTATTCATCAGTGGCATGTGACGATCTCCATTTGTTCTTCTCGACTGCTTTCATTACCATTTCGACTACCTCCACAGAGGCCAAAATCCAGCTTATGTCTAAAGTAACCAGTACCTTTCCGTTGGCTTTCAGTGCTTTATCAAAGCAGAACTTTAGAGATTTCTCTTCATCTAGGTAGTACATACTGTGGGTAAAAACCACTAGGTCAAATCGTAAGTCATCGTTTTGATCCATGTACTCTTCAAACGTGTTCCCTCGAACGTCGAAGACACTTCTCGTCTTCAAAGAACCCGTCAGCTCTTCAATGGATTTGTCGTAGAGACTTTTGAAATATTCATTTGGCTCAATACCTCTCAGAAATATCTTTACATCACGATATTTCTCAATTCTTTGCAACTCTTCCTCGACTATCTTCACCACTTTGATGTCTTCTGTGCCATCTCCACTTCCAATGCTTAAGATGTTGAATTGGCTCATCTCCTTAGTATCTTGAAACATTGATCGTATAACATTTGGAAGATGGCGAAAATATAATGTGCAGGATTTTCCAACTATACTCTGTTTGAATACCGAATAGCATAAGGAATAATGTTTGCCAGTTTGAAGGGATAACGACTCCATTTCAGAACCGGGAGATGACATATTATACATGCTTTTGTCTTGAAGTTTCAGATTTCAACCCGGAGCGCAAAAACCGTGACATACGCTTTAAGAGAATTTTTAATTCAACTAGACGATCATGGATCGCTTACGTGGGCTTCCTGTAGTTGCGACATTGAGCTATAAGTATTTCATTTTCACCAAATAGTCTTTGTTTGAAATAAGTCAAGACAGAGTTAAGTTAATATAAGTTATTTACTACATCATAATTTTTACCGAAGTGAACTCTGAGTATAACTTCTTTAAATATCCTGTCTTTCCCAGTTTTCCAAAATAGTTAGCACGACTTTACGCTCTAAATGTTAAGTAAGAATATCCGCCATTATTTAATAAGAATATCCTTTTTTTGATTAAAGATATATCTTTGAAATAATAAGATGCTTATCAACATCAGACATGAAACCTATTTTCAACGATTTTAATCTAAACAGGGTCAGGTTTTTGAGTTCCCAGCGGCACA